AGGAGCCAAGGCACTAGAGATCTAATAGGCATAAGGAACAATTACGCAGTTACAGGAGGTAATTGCACTCAGCTGGTGGTAATTAGGCTCCTCTCCAGACTATAAAAGGACTGCTTGTGCACACTTTTGCAGAAGTCAACGCATTAACTAATGTTGGAGAACAGTATTGTGAGCTTGGCAGGCTGGATTGTTGCCAAGGCTTATCTGTGCCGGTTTGCTGCCAAGGACCTGTCTGTCGGTGAATAAATTCCGTAAAGTATCTTTGGCTTGGAGTGCTTTGGTGTGGGACGAGGGGGGTCAGAACAGCTACCTAATGGTTTTTAGTAAAATGGAAAGAATAGACCATGTTACCATCCTTAATTGTACCTATGCCTCAGGCAGCAATCCCTGGAACCAGTCAACCTTGGCACATTTGACCAGTACGTGGCGGGTACAACCATAGCTCAGTTTTATTCCAAGCATGCTCATATTATTCAGGGCAAGCTGGGGACCGTAATCTGGAGCTTACCTTACAAACCCACAGTGTGTTTCCTGCATCCTATCAAGTAGAAATTACATGCGGCATTTCATTGTGGGACCCTTTGTGCCAAGGGCTGCCGTTCAGCGAATCGATGCTGCACGTCGGTGTGTTACTTCTATCCCCTTGCTACTTGCAAGGAGTATCCAGATTGGGCAACGTTTCCCTTCTCCAGCCACTGTAGCAGAACGAGCTGGCTCCCTCCGTTGGTGACGGCTGGGCAGTCTTTGACGAGTGCCAGTTTGTCTGCCGGCAGTAGGTCAGGAAGCCTTAGCTCCAGCTGCTTACCGAACCGCGATCTTTTCTCCCCTAATCACTACCTCAGCTACAAAATGAAGGGGTGTGAGCCTTCGCCATCATTAGGAAAAATGATGACAATTAAACGCAATTAATAAACACTCTCCCATGACAGGACATATGCACGCTGTGTGTCTTGACTGGACCAAACATGGAAACTGGTACACCTCATTACCCAAATGAATTGATATTGCACAGCCCAACTTCCACTATAAATAACATACTTGAGAGGCATCTTCTGATTTCTCATGCATACATATATTCCCGACAACACGAGCGTCTTCCTAGTCAGGGGTTATGAGAAGGCACATGGTTAATCACATCAGTCCAGATGGTTGGCTCCCTTCTTGCCAAGGAATAGTACTGAGTACCCTTTTAATGTTCATTTACATAAGCTGAATGTTAATAAAGACCCCTGAATGCCTAGACGTGCCTTTGCTCATCTCAGATCAACCTTGGATGACGTCCTGAAATTTACTGTGTACATCCTAAGAAACACACATTACCATTAGCCACTCAGGGCACATAACACATGGAAGAATCTCTTTTTTGATGTTAAAAGCCTTGCTGCCTTCAGTTATGACAGGCTTGGCAAGAGTTTCTCTGTGCGGTTGGTTCCAACGTTAAAGGCCATTAAAGGCAAATTGCTTTTCAAAAAAAATATTTCAACTTGAAATCATACTGGGCACATTTATATTCATACCCACATTTCAGTGCAAACAGTGTTTCTAGAACTGTGTCATTCTAAGGGCCGAGGTGGCGCAGTGGTTAGGGTGCAGCACTGCAGGCTACTTCAGCTG